GTAAATGGGAGGGTTTTTTGTACTCAGCTGATAGAAAAATGGGGTTCTAAAGAAATAGCTATGAGTTTTTGGGCAACTGGAACAATGGAAATTTGGGTGAAAAAAGGGCTCAAAATCGGGGAAATCGCGGGAAAAGCATATGTCCCGAGCCCCGCTAACCTTCGCGGAGCATAAATTTCCCTGAGTTTTCGACCAAAAATTTTTGAACTTTTGGGGGGGGACCCCTCGGGAAAAAATTTTTATCATTTTAAAAGAAAAAAAAATTTTTGGGGGGGGAAAAATTGAGGCATAGAAAACAGTTTCCCGAAAGGGGGCCCGAAACAGTCAAAAAGGGTTTAAAGGGAAAAATTTCAACCCGCCAGGGTTTTTCATCCGAACGGGGAAGAACGGTGAAAGATGAGGGGGAGAATGAGGTAAACCCTCCCCTTTAGCCTGGGGTCAAAAAGTTTCAGTCCCTCATCCCCTTTAAAAAACACAAACCCACTCTAGGGTGAGGGATTGATTACCCCCATTCCCCCTTCTCATCTTTCGCCAACCCTGTATCGGGCCGAAGAAGCCACTGGTTTTTTCTTTTTGGGTTAAAAAAGAGATATAGCGTTTTGTAAAAGAACCATGCGAAATGTCCCAAAGGAAAAAACACTTGAAATTGATACCAAGTATCTCAAAAACCCCCTTTACTAATGTTAACTGGACAAAACACTCCCAAAATCCCCACCCATCAAAAACAGCCCTGGCCCCTTGGGGGCGATGGCCCCAAAACTGCCCAGGGACAATCCGTCGACATCCACTCCCTTTCCCAAGGTCTCCCTATGGATTCCCCTCAAAATGGTTCTTGGGCCCGGTTGTACTCCAAGATGGGGAAACACCAAGTCGGACCCAACAACAACATAATCTGCAAAAAAGTAAGAATATCAAAAACTGAAAAACCTTTTCCCCCGGGTTTAAAGATATTTTTTTTACTCCACATATGTTCAGGGGCCATACTGACCGAATTTGTTCCCCCTAAGGGAAAATTTGGGGAAGTAGATTACTCCTTTTAACCCCCAAAAATACACGTACAAACGCCAACATAAATACACTTACTTTTTGGGCCCCATTTGGAGGGGATCGTTATGCGGGGGGGCCACTGACTACCTTTGAAGATTTTGATTTCACAAATCTTGGGCCCGCCATGGGGCCCGGCTCGCTGGTGCTTGCCTGGGCAACCAGGGTGTTTTCTGCGGAAGCCAATGCAAAAAGAACAAAAAAATCACAGTCTCGACTTACCAAAAACATTGAAAATCTTTGTACTGTGGGAATCATCCCTTTTTTAAAATGTATTATTATATGTATTATTAAATGTATTTTTATATGTATTATTATATTATTATTATAAATTTTTATATTTTATTATTAAACACAATACGGAGGTCCCCCAGTGTTTGCAAGTCAAGGACTTCCTTTTTATCTTCATCAACCGCTTACCTTTTTTTTCCCCCCGGTTAACCCGAAGGACTTTAACCCACGGGTCACCCAAAAATACAGTCGTCAGGATGGTTGAACCTGCAAAAAAAAAAAAAAAAGGTTTAAAGCAATAACAAAACTTTTTTTTTGGGTTTAAAAAGACTAAAAGTCCTCAAATTTTGGGCCCATTAAAAATTTAAAAATACATGGGAAAAACTTTATGAAGAAAAAAAATTTATAAGAAAACTGAATACTTTTCCCTTTTAGAAAAACGAACTTAAATTTAAAATATTCTGGTTGCCCCCCACCAAGGCAGAGTGACCCAAAAAAAAAAAAAAACCCCTTCTCCATCATTCACACTTAATTTCTGCCTTGGGCCCAAAGGGACATAGATACAGGGGAAAAAAAAGGTTATAATTATTTCTATAATTTTTTTAAAGGGGGGGAAAGGGTTTGCCAGTGGAAGGCCTCAGTCAGATGACCCAAAAACTCCGCTGTGGGGCATCAATGACTAAGACCCCTTTTAATTTTTATTATTTTAATCAAGGGGGGAAACGCTAAAAACCGGGGGATTTTAAAAGCCCTGGGGGGGGGGGGAAGGCATTCAGCTTTAAATTTGGGGAACTGGCCAGATCTAACCCTAAATCAAAGCCCCCCAAACCCAAAATCAGGGAAACCCTTTCCCTTTAGGGGATGACTAAGACCAAGTCAGGAAAAGGTTTTCCATTTCCTGACGAACCAAAACCCAATCTAACCTAAAACTTTCCTATTTCCCGACAATCCCAAATTTAAACCCAAGAGCAAATATATCAAACTACTCTTTCAAAGCACCATTGTACTCCCATAAATTTCCTTAAAACACCTACTATCCATGTTTACCTACCATAAAAAAGGGACCTGGGGGTCAGTCAACTGGGGTTGGGGGCGCAAACCCCGGGGACAAAATTTTCCAGATTTTTCAGGGAAAAGCCTCCCTAACGGGCTTTCTATATAGTAGTAGCCAAATGTGTCCCGCTAGATCTTATAAACCTTTTACATGTACATGTAGAAAAAAAGATTATTAAGTATTCATAAAAAAAAAAAAGCAGCATATAAACATAAGCGGTACGGGTGACATAACTTTATTTTTAAAGCATGGGAGAAAAACGGGTGATGAGGTAATTTGGCATTTTTGAAAGAATATACCTTGGGGTATAACCCCGGAGGGTTTTGGGGTTTAAAAGTCTCTGCAGCCTGGTCTGAGACCAGGGCCCTTTTGGGGATCAGGGGCTGATTTAACAAGGTTGCTACTGCTGGCCACCCCGCCAACTGACGGACGGATACAGCAGAATAGGAAAAAAAAAAAAAAAGGGGTACAAATTTTGGGGGGAGGTAAAGGTAGGAAAAATCATTTCCCGAGGGAGAACTGAAAAGGTTTTTTTGTGGAAAAGGGGTTTTAGCATCCAGCGGGAAAAAACCCCGGCGAAAATGTCATAAAATTTAGGCCAACACCTAAGCCACTAGGCCCCTGGTTACAATTAAAATCCAACCAATTTTTACACGGAAATGGACTTACCTGAATTACTTTTCATGAAAAAATTTTTAAGTTCCCCAAAAATGAATAAGATATGCTTAAAAAAAAAATAAATAACTACCTAAGTGTATAAATTAATAAAAAAATAATTTCTGTAACTAAAAACTAGTACTGAAATTATTAAATTTTTTTTTTTTTTTTTTATTATCCCACCGGCCGATTCCCACCAAGGCCAAGGGGGGGGGCCCGAAAAAGAAAAACTTTCACCATCCTTCACTCCACACTGTCTTGCCAAGGGTGCTTTACACTACAGGGGTTTTTTTAAATGCAACAAATTTAAAACCCCCCCTTCAGAGTGCAGGGACTGTACTTTTCCCCCTCCAAACTCAATTTCCGGGCCCGCCGGGTTTTCCCCGGAAACCCTTTCATAAATGTTACTTTTCTCACACCCCCCAGCACGTCAATATTTTTTAAAACCTTGTCCCCCATTCACTCCTATCAAACACGCCACGCATGCCTGCTAAGTCCCCAAACCCCTCCACACAAAACCCCTTTACCCCCCCCCTCCAACCCTTTTCCCAGGGCCCACCCCACCCCCCCTTCCTTCCACTACAACGAAAACAAAACCCTTTAAGTCTTCTGTTTCGCTCCCTTTTCCCCCCCCTTTTACATTTCCCCAACCACCTCAACAACCCTTTCCCCAGCCCCTGGCAACCCGGTTTTTGGGAAAAACCCCCACCTCCTCCTTTGGTACTGGCATCATAGGCGTGTTGTGCGGGTGGTTGGGGTTTGTGGTGGGCTGGTGGCTGACGCTCTGCTTTGTCCTTGAACTGAGGAGTCAGCAGCGTGGGTCCCAGCCTGGGCTGGTGAGTCACGCATGGCGGTGCCACTACCATCACCACTACCACCATCTGCTGATGCCTGTGGTCTATCCATGCCAAGTGTAGCCACATCATCATCACTATCACTATCTAAACCTGGTGTAGGGCCATGGGATGTACTCCGGGATGTACTCCGTCCCCTGGGCACAGCATAGGGTACACTACCCGAGCGCATGCGGTGGCGTACATACCGACGCTTCACTGGTGAATATGATTCCTCACTATCACTACTCGAATGATCGTCAAGCGCAATAAAATCACAATCCACGTCACTATCATCGTCATTACTGAAGTCAGAGGCCTGGCCACGTGAAAATATTAGTTTTCTCTTGCGTTGAGGTACAACTGACCGTGGCTGAAGAGTGCCCACACCAGAGGTAGAAGGTTGAGGATCGTCAGGGTTTTCTGCACTATTATCGATATCCTGGTCATTCCTTTCGGTCACTAACTGATCAAAGCCATAGAATTCGTCTTCATTTCCACTTCCATCAGTGTCAGAACTATCAGATAGGAAGAGGAGAGTCCCAATTTTCCGTGGAGTGAGAGCTGACTTGCGACGAGGCATGGTGAACAAGGGTAACCGAGCCGGCATTCCCACAATGCTATGCGGGCGCCTAGATTTTTTGTTTATGGCACACACCCACCACGCAGACCCGTTCTCTCACATGTAGGCCTATGAGCGCTTTCGCGCTAAATTTGACAGAGCTAGAATTCTGGCATAGATCTACGGTTTGGACACTCAACGTGAAGCCGTAGATCTATGGGACGGACCCTGAAAGGGTTAAATCATTTATTTTCAATTATTTTTTTAGCACGTTGGTTGTCTCCCACCAAGGCAGGGTGACCCAGAAAAGACGAAAGACTTTCATCATCATTCACTCCATCACTGTCTTGCCAGAGGTGCCCAGATGAGACAGTCTAGATGTCACTCTAAACAGTAAATATCCTAAACCCCCTCCTTCAGGTACTGTACTTCCCACCATCAGGACTGTAACATCCTTCAGAATGCAGGCACTCAAGTCCAACTAACTGTAGATTTATTATACTTAATACTAGCAAAGCATAAACTAGACTAACCTAGACATGGAAGAAACTAAATATATTATTAGTTATGTTCACAACTAACGCTGACTGTGCCCAAAATATAGAGGTCCATAACTCACCCAAATCAGCAATCTGACAAGCCATGATGGGGGAGAGCGAGTCGAGTTCATCGACCAACACCAGGTTCTGTAGCTGCCTGGGAGCGTAGAAGAAGGTATCGCCTTCCTCCAGGGGCATGGCTGAGCTGAACTCCGGTTCATCGTCGTCGTCACCGAGGTGAGCAATCTGGACAAGGATGGACGAGTTTACTTTTGGCCCTCGGTTCCATATCATAGCCAGGAATTTTTATTCTGAACATCCCGGCCATCCCCCCACCGAGGCAGGGTGGGAACATAAAAAAAGGAGAAACACTGAAAGTTGGCCTACGGGCCCTTACTAGGCAGGTCCCTTTTCAAACCCAAACATAAGTTACCACACACACAACACACACCATGCAAACCACATGTCCACACACACACAAACCCACAAGCCACACACACTTACGAACACAATCACACACACAAAAAACCACAAGTCACATTACACAACCCACACATACAAATGCAACTTACAAACACAAACACCACAAGCACATTCACACACCCCACACATACAAAGGGCAATTTACAAACACCCACACATACAAACACTCACTACTCACCTGTTTAAAGATAATGTTACCAAACTCCGAGGCAACAAAGAGGAAGCCAGTCTTGAGAACACACATGGCCGTCGCCGGCGGAACGGTGTCGAAAAATTTCAGCTTGATCTCCGTCACAACACCTCCCTTTCCCTTTCTAGAGTAATCTGAAAAGCGTTTTGAGTATAATTTTCCTTCTTTTTGCATGTTTTTTATAGAGCACAAAGTTCGACTCCTTACTGAGATAGGTGACCCACCCCTCAAAAAAATTGAAAAAGAAAATACAGTGGTACCTTGGGATACGAACAGCTCAAAACTCAAACAATTATTCAAGTGTATTTATGTAAGTGCTTTTGTAAGTGTATTTTTGGGGGTCTGAAATAGATTAATCTATTTACATTATTCCTTATGGAACAAATCGTTCGGTATCAGCACTCGAACAGCCTTCTGGAATGAATTAAGTTCATATCCCGAGGTACCACTGTATATTCATTATGGCTCAGTTAATAGCTGTCTTCCCAGAAGTGTGCAGATATCACAGTTTATATAATCTTCTGTACATGTGGCCAAACCTCACCTTGAAGATGTCACCCTGCTCTGTCTGGGCGAGGAAAAAGAACATGGAGCGAGTTTTGTGGGTGGCGGCGCAGATGAAGATCATTCCTCGCTCCGGGTCATCAAGATCATTCTGCAGTGTAGTTGACATCACATTAAAAAATGCAAATCAGCAATTTTTTTTTAAACGAATTGGCCATCTCCCACCAAGGCAGGGTGCCAAAAAAACAAAAAAACTTTCAACATCACTCACTCCATCACTGTCTCATCAGAGGGGGGAACCCGATACTACAGCTCAAAACTGCACCAGGGCTCAAACCTATATACACTTATAAATTAAGCCTACTGAGCTAGGCCCCAGGCTACTGGTAACTGATTGAAAGCTTCTTCGAGGTAGGCCTCACCTGCTTTACCTGAGAATTTGCAGTTATAGGCCTACATGATAAACCAAAAAGTGATTTCCTTGTAAATTAAGAAAATTTAAAATAAAGATACCTTACTAGAACAAGAGTGTATGTGAACAAACTACCACAACTCACGAAATCATAATGACACGAATGCAAACCAGCCACAGGACAGAGAGGGTTTGAACTCATGGCAAGCGAGTGGTAAAGCACCACTGGGCCAGCTGGCTACAACATGATTCGTCCAACTAGGTATATTTATACATCATAAGGAGGTCAGCATGGGCCACCACTGTGACCACAAGTTTTTACAGATGAATCTCCTGCCAGCATGGCTGTAACAACTCCAGCTCAAGTCCCCTCAAAGCCATCATCATGGCCACTGGGCCAGCTTGCCCTGTGGTTAATGCACTGGCCTATAGTTTTACGACTCACTAGCCAAGGGTTCAAACCCCATCTAAGTGTACAAGGACTGGCGAGGCCATACCCTTCTGCGAGGTATGGGACAACGGATATCTGGCTGGTCGCCCAAGTTCTTGTAGGTTATGTAGTTCTCTGAGCACACTAACACGCCAGATGGCCCATCATTACCACCTGAAAAAGAAAGTCTAGTAGGTAAGTTTCTAAACAAGGATCTTATGAAAAATATGTAACAAAAAAAAAAAACTTTTTTTTACACTCAAAACAATAACAATATCCACGGTTTTCTAGCAATACTCTTGGCAATTAATATTTCACAATACACAAATAACCCACACGTACAAAAAAGAAGCTTATGACAACATTTTGGTCTCACTTGGACCACTGATTAATCACAATGACTAGTTAATGGTCAAAGTTTGACCAAAAGGTTGCCATAAGTTTCTCCTATGTGCGGGTTATGTGCGTATTGTTACATTTACAGTATTATACGTTATAGAGAAATATATGGGTGCACATGACTGTGTCAGCGTTTCGTTACCTGGAACAGAGATGAGAAAGTTTGCGTGTTCCTCCAGAGGTTCGTGATATTTCCTGACAACATGATTGAGTCCGAGATCCAGTTCATAGAAGGTGAGAGTCTGCTGCGTCCTGTGTACGGCCTCTCCTGTAGGATCCGTGTCAGCTTCCTGTGAATCACAGCCAATTATTCAATCAGTCCCTCAGCCAAGGTTGAGGGACTGATTACCTCATCTTTTGTATATAGTTCTACTGTCTTCCAATTATGCCCTCGAAATTTGTATTGATAAAGCCACTGGACGGCAAAACGTCTACATAAAGATAACCAGATGTTGTTCATGTATTTGATTTATGTGTGTATTGTTCCAGTCAGAGTATTGTGACTTTTTCTTCTTTCTACACAGAATACTATATCACTGTTTTACCCCCAAGCATACATAGTGTTTCTTTTATTTTGTGAGTGAAATGATTCTCTTAACTACAATGATTATTACAAGAAAATCAGACACAAGACAACTGACGAGTAATGTAAGTTACTAATACATTTTATCACTTTAAAGGACTCACCTCACGGTCGTCATCTCCAGGCTGAGGGACTGACCAATACATTTTATCATCTTAAAGGACTCACCTCACGGTCGTCATCTCCAGGCTGAGGGACTGACCAATACATTTTATCATCTTAAAGGACTCACCTCACGGTCGTCAGCTCAGGCTGAGGACTGACCAATACATTTTATCATCTTAAAGGACTCGCCTCACGGTCGTCAGCTCCAGGCTGAGGGACTGACCAATACATTTTATCATCTTAAAGGACTCACCTCATAGTCAATCTCTAAGCAAGCAAATAAGGGGTTTTCAAAGCCAACATCGACTCCAACAGTGTGATACACAAGAGTGTTGCTTTTATGAGCCTCTAACGGTGATGAAATGGTGAGTCTTGCTGCGGCGTCTCTGTTCAGGATGTACACCAGCTTCTGTTTCTCAACGGCACCTGTGGAGTGATTAACGCTAAAATTAGAGTGAGAGACACTTGTGCAGCATTTGGGAATCTTTATTAACCCTTTGACTGTTTTCGACGTATAAATACGTCTTATGAGCCAATGTTTCTGACGTATATATACTCATTAATTCTAGCGGCTTCAAATCAAGCGGGAGAAAGCTGGTAGACCCACATGTGAGAGAATGGGTCTGTGTGGTCAGTGTGCACCACATAAAAAAAATCCTGCAGCACACATTGCGTAATGAGAAAAAAAAAACTCTGATCGTTTTTTTGGAATAAAACGCCGACTCTGAGGTGTATTTTCGTATAGTATTTATCGTTGTATTCGCGTTTTCATGGTCTTAGGTGATAAAATGGAAAACATATTACAGAAATAGAGATGATTTTCATTACTTTGACGATGAAAACGACCTTGAAACTGAGCTCAAAGTAGCGGAAATGTTCGATTTTTACCATTGTTCAGGAGTAAATAAATCACACCATACATCCAATACACATCAACTGGGGAGTCTAATATTCTTTCACTAGTGCACTGATATTATTTATACCATTTTTACAATAATGCAGTAGTCTGCATAACAGTAAATTTTGTATTTTTTTGTATGAATAAAAAATCAAAATAGAAAGCAATAATAACATAAGAGGGGCCTAGAGATGTGACTAATGAACAGAGCATATGTTATTTTAGTGCCACGAATGTCTACCTTGTTTATCCTGGACCCTATTTTGAAATTGGCATCTTTTTTAGTTTGCGTGAAATTGGCCAAATTGCCACTTTCTGACCACCATACTGGGTAGTCCAAATTAGTAAATGGGAGGTTTCTTGTACTCAGCTGATAGATAAAATGGAGTTCTAAAGAAATAGCTATGAGTTTGGTCAACTGGAACAATGGAATTGGCTGAAAATAGGGCTCAAAGTCGGCGAAATCGCTGATACGCATATGTCGCCGAGACCGCTAACTTCGCGGAGCATAATTCCATGAGTTTTCGACCAAATTTCGAACTTTTGGTGTCATTACCATCGGGAAAAGATTCTCTATCATTTCATAGAAAAAATAATTTTTTTTTTTTTCAAAAATTGAGCGACATAGAATGACAGTTTCAGAAAGGGGCCTGAAACAGTCAAAGGGTTAAGGAAACATTTCACCAGCCAGTGGCTTCTTCAGTCCGATACGGAGAAGAACGGTGAAAGATGAGGAGGAGAATGAGGTAATCAGTCCTTCAGCCTGGAGTCAATGTGTTCAGTCCATCATCTTAAGAAACACATCGACTCTAGGCTGAGGGATTGATTACCTCATTCTCCTTCTCATCTTTCGCCATTCTCTGTATCGGGCTGAAGAAGCCACTGGTTGACTTATTCTTGGATTAGAAAGAGATATAGCGTCTGTAAGAAGAACCATGCGAAATGTCAATGGCACACACTATGTATTCGATACCAAGTATCTCACCCACTTTACTAATGTATAACTGGACAATCACTACAAGATCTCACCGATCATAACAGCCCTGCCCTTGGGGTCGATGGCCAGATACTGCCCAGGGACAATCCGTCGACATCCACTCTTCCCGAAGGTCTCCATATGGATTCTCTCAAACTGGTTCTTGGCCTGGTTGTACTCCAAGATGGTGATGCGACCAGAGTCGGACCCAACAACAACATAATCTGCAAAAGAGTAAGAATATCAAAAACTGAAATACAGTGGACCCCCGGTTAACGATATTTTTTCACTCCAGCAGTATGTTCAGGTGCCAGTACTGACCGAATTTGTTCCCATAAGGAATATTGTGAAGTAGATTACTCCATTTCAGACCCCCAAACATACACGTACAAACGCACTTACATAAATACACTTACATAATTGGTCGCATTCGGAGGTGATCGTTATGCGGGGGTCCACTGTACTACCTTTGAAGAGTTTTGAGTTTCACTACTCTTGGAGCCCAGCCATGGGCCAGGCTCGTCTGGTGCTTGCCTGGTCAACCAGGCTGTTGCTGCTGGAAGCCAAATGCATAAAAGAACAAAAAAATCACAGTCTCTGACTTACAAACACATTGAAAATCTTCTGTACTGTGTATATCATCTTTATTATATGTATTATTATATGTATTATTATATGTATTATTATATGTATTATTATATGTATTATTATATGTATTATTATATGTATTATTATACACAATACAGGAGGTCCTCAAGGTGTTTGCAAGTCAAGGACTTCCTGTATTATCTTCATCAACGCTTACCTTTATTTCCGCCGGTTAACCTGAAGGACATCAACGAGCGGATCACTCCAAATATATCAGTCGTCAGGATGGTGTGAACCTGCAAAAAACAAAAAAAAGTTAATGCAATATCAATACTTATTTTGTTAACAAGACTAAAAGATCCTCATTGTTGGGCCTATAAAATTAATAATATCATGGAAGAACTTTATGAAGAAAAAAAATTGATAAGAAATACTGAATACTTTTCCATTTTTAGAAAAACGAGACTAAATCATATGATTCTGGTTGTCTCCCACCAAGGCAGAGTGACCCAAAAAAAGAAACACTCTCTCCATCATTCACACTATTACTGTCTTGCCAGAGGCACATAGATACAGGGCAAAAAATGGTTATAATTATTACTATAATTTTTTAAAGGGGTGGAAAGGTTAGCCAGTGGAAGGCCTCAGTCAGATGACCAAAAGCTCCAGCTGTGGGTCATCATATGACTAAGACCATTATTATTATTATTATTATAATCAAGGGGGAAGCGCTAAACCCGAGGATTATACAGCGCCTGGGGGGGGATGTGGAAGGCATTCAGGCTTAATTCGGGGAACTGGAGCACAGATCTAATTCCCTAAATCAAGAGCCCCTCACCAACATCAAGGAACCTTCCTTGAGGGGATGACTAAGACCAGAGTCAGGAAATGTTGCTCCATTTCCTGACGAACCTTACCTAATCTAACCTAACACTTGTCCTATTTCCTGACAATCCTTACCTAACCTAAGAGCAAATATATCAAACTACTCTTTCAGAATGCATCCATTGTACTTCCCATAGTTTCCTTAAGACACCTACTATCCATGTTCACCTACCAGTAAAATAGGCACCTGGGTGTCAGTCAACTGGTGTGGGTCGCATCCTGGGGACAAAATTTACCAGATTTGCAGGAAATGCTCTGCATAACAATGGGCTTTCTATATAGTAGTATGCCACTGATGTCAGCTATGATCTGTATACCTTGTACATGTACATGTAGAAATAAAGATTATTATGTATTCATAAAAAATGCAGCATATAAACTATAAGACGGTACGAGGGTGACATAACGTATTATTCAAAGCATGGGAGGAAGACGGGGTGATGAGGTAATTTGGGCATTTAGAAAGAATATACCTGGAGTATACCTGGAGAGGGTTTTGGGGGTCAATGTCTCTGCAGCCTGGTCTGAGACCAGGCCTTGTGGTGGATCAGGGTCTGATCAACAAGGTTGCTACTGCTGGCCACACGCCAACTGACGTACGGATACAGCAGAATAGGATAAAAAAAAAAAAGGGAGTACAAATTTTGGGTGGAGGTAAAGTGTAGGAAAGTCATCCCAGGAGGGAGAACTGAAGGTTTTATGTGGAAAGGGCTTGAGCATCCAGCAGGCTAAAACCCATGGCGAATGAGTCATAAAATTTGAGGCCAACACATAAGCCACTAGGCCAGCTGGTTACAATAAGATCCGACGAATTTGACACAGGTACTGGACTTACGATGAGATTACATTGCGATGAAAATATTGTAAGTCAAATATGAATAAGATATGCTAAATATATAAATAAATAACTATCCTAAGTGTATAAATTAATAAATAAATAATTACTGTAGCTAAATACTAGTACTGAAATTATTATTTTTTTTTTTTTTATTATTATCACACCGGCCGATTCCCACCAAGGCAGGGTGGCCCGAAAAAGAAAAACTTTCACCATCATTCACTCCATCACTGTCTTGCCAGAAGGGTGCTTTACACTACAGTTTTTAAACTGCAACATTAACACCCCTCCTTCAGAGTGCAGGCACTGTACTTCCCATCTCCAGAACTCAAGTCCGGCCTGCCGGTTTCCCTGAATCCCTTCATAAATGTTACTTTGCTCACACTCCAACAGCACGTCAAGTATTAAAAACCATTTGTCTCCATTCACTCCTATCAAACACGCCACGCATGCCTGCTGGAAGTCCAAGCCCCTCGCACACAAAACCTCCTTTACCCCTCCCTCCAACCCTTCCTAGGCCGACCCCTACCCGCCTTCCTTCCACTACAGACTGATACACTCTTGAAGTCATTCTGTTTCGCTCCATTCTCTCTACATGTCCGAACCACCTCAACAACCCTTCCTCAGCCCTCTGGACAACAGTTTTGGTAATCCCGCACCTCCTCCTAACTTCCAAACTACGAATTCTCTGCATTATATTCACACCACACATTGCCCTCAGACATGACAATCTCCACTGCCTCCAGCCTTCTCCTCGCTGCAACATTCATCACCCACGCTTCACACCCATATAAGAGCGTTGGTAAAACTATAAATCTCATACATTCCCCTCTTTGCCTCCAAGGACAAAGTTCTTTGTCTCCACAGACTCCCAAGTGCACCACTCACTCTTTTTCCCTCATCAATTCTATGATTCACCTCATCTTTCATAGACCCATCCGCTGACACGTCCACTCCCAAATATCTGAATACGTTCACCTCCTCCATACTCTCTTCCCTCCAATCTGATATTCAATCTTTCATCACCTAATCTTTTTGTTATCCTCATAACCTTACTCTTTCCTGTATTCACCTTTAATTTTCTTCTTTTGCACACCCTACCAAATTCATCCAACCAATCTCTGCAACTTCTCTTCAGAATCTCCCAAGAGCACAGTGTCATCAGCAAAGAGCAGCTGTGACAACTCCCACTTTGTGTGTGATTCTTTATCTTTTAACTCCACGCCTCTTGCCAAGACCCTCGCATTTACTTCTCTTACAACCCCATCTATAAATATATTAAACAACCACGGTGACATCACACATCCTTGTCTAAGGCCTACTTTTACTGGGAAAAAATTTCCCTCTTTCCTACATACTCTAACTTGAGCCTCACTATCCTCGTAAAAACTCTTCACTGCTTTCAGTAACCTACCTCCTACACCATACACTTGCAACATCTGCCACATTGCCCCCCTATCCACCCTGTCATACGCCTTTTCCAAATCCATAAATGCCACAAAGACCTCTTTAGCCTATCTAAATACTGTTCACTTATATGTTTCACTGTAAACACCTGGTCCACACACCCCCTACCTTTCCTAAAGCCTCCTTGTTCATCTGCTATCCTATTCTCCGTCTTACTCTTAATTCTTTCAATTATAACTCTACCATACACTTTACCAGGTACACTCAACAGACTTATCCCCTATAATTTTTGCACTCTCTTTTATCCCCTTTGCCTTTATACAAAGGAACTATGCATGCTCTCTGCCAATCCCTAGGTACCTTACCCTCTTCCATACATTTATTAAATAATTGCACCAACCACTCCAAAACTATATCCCCACCTGCTTTTAACATTTCTATCTTTATCCCATCAATCCCGGCTGCCTTACCCCCTTTCATTTTACCTACTGCCTCACGAACTTCCCCCACACTCACAACTGGCTCTTCCTCACTCCTACAATAAATAATAAATAAATATAAGTTTGGGACTTGTTACATTCATGTTGGATAATTATCTTAAGTTTCTTCTCCAAAGTAATTGATGCTTCACCATCGGAAAGTTGAAATACAGTAAGTCAAACCATCAATAGTCAAACCATCATAAATTGAACCATCGTAAGTCGAACAATTTTAAATAAACCATCATAAGTCGAACATCCTAAGTCAAACTATTGTAGTAAATCGAACCATCGTAAGTCAAACCATCGTAAGTCAAAGCATCATAAGTCAAAGCATCATAAGTCAAAGCATCGTAAGTCAAAGCATCATAAGTCAAAGCATCATAAGTCAAATCATCATAAGTCAAACCATCGTTAAGTCAAATCATCATAAGTCAAACCATCATAAGTCAAACCATCATAAGTCGAACATCATAAGTCAAACTATTGTAGTAAATCGAACCATTGTAAGTCAAACCATTGTTAAGTCAAATCATCATAAGTCAAAGCATCATAAGTCAAATCATCATAAGTCAAACCACCATAAGTCAAATCATCGTAAGTCAAACCATCATAAGTGGAGGTGCACCAGTATATTTCTAGTAAGAGCGCCTCCCTCACCTTGCCAGTGTTAGGGTCGGGTCTGAGCAGTTCGAGCGAGCGCCCCCGAGACACCACCAACTCCTGGGAGCGCGTGCCGGAGAAGTTGCCATGGACGGCGTGTGTGATGCCTGACGCTCGCTGCAGCGTCAGGTTGTAGAGATGCATGTCGGCGGCAGTCTGCGAGACGGCAGGACAATTTCCAGCTTCACTTCCGAAGCCCCGAGCCCATTAATCTCCTGCCCGGCAACTTTACTGTCGGAAAACATTTATTAATATTATTATTTTTATTATTACAACCATAACTAAGAATGAACAAATGGAACAATTCTAAATATAAGGTAATGAACAAATGGAACAATTCTAAATATAAGGTAATGAACAAATGGAACAATTCTAAATATAAGGTAATGAACAAATGGAACAATTCTAAATATAAGGTAATGAACAAATGGAACAATTCTAAATATAAGGTAATGAACAAATGGAACAATTCTAAATATAAGGTAATGAACAAATGGAACAATTCTAAATATAAGGTAATGAACAAATGGAACAATTCTAAATATAAGGTAATGAACAAATGGAACAATTCTAAATATAAGGTAATGAACAAATGGAACAATTACATGTATAAGTCTACAACTGGGTAAATTATGAACAAATGGAACAAATATAAATGTACAATAAGGTAGTTATTGAATAACAGCCAAAAAAAAATTTTGTTCCAACAGAAACAAAATGGAGCAAGAAATTTGTTCAGAGGAGGAGTTCAATTCCTTGGATCAAGAGCCTCCCCCCCCCCCCCAGAGCATCACCATTAATAAAGTTTTGGGCTGAAATATCAGTAAAGTTCTCTCGTTGTTGTTACTGGGGTTGAACCACAGCTCCTGTACCCATCAGAAATTTTTTAACGGGTTTTAAACACTCACGTTATTGGTAATAAAAAAATCTATTATTTATTCTAGAGTAATTCAGTAAAGACAAATAAAGTGATTGATATCTATAATTATTATAGAATAATTCAGTAATTTATATAATTATAGAATTCAGTAATTTATATAATTATTATAGAATAATTCAGTAATTTATATAATTATTATAGAATTCAGTAATTTATATAATTATAGAATAATTCAGTAATTTATATAATTATTATAGAATTCAGTAAATTATATAATTATTATAGAATTCAATAAAGTAATTTATATAATTATTATAGAATAATTCAATGTAATTTATATTATAGAATAATTCAATAATTTATATAATTATAGAATAATTCAGTAATTTATATAATTATAGAATAATTCAGTAATTTATATAATTATTATAGAATAATTCAGTAATTTATATAATTATTATAGAATAATTCAGTAATTTATATAATTATTATAGAATTCAGTAATTTATATAATTATTATAGAATAATTCAGTAATTTATATAATTACCTGGAGTTTACCTGGAGAGAGTTCCGGGAGTCAACGCCCCCGCGGCCCGGTCTGAGACCAGGCCTCCTGGTGGATCAGAGCCTGATCAACCAGGCTGTTGCTGCTGGCTGCACGCAAACCAAACATATGAGCTACAGCCCGGCTGATCCGGAACTGACTTTAGGTGCTTGTCCAGTGCCAGCTTGAAGACAGCCAGGGGTCTGTTGGTAATCCCCCTTATGTGTGCTGGGAGGCAGTTGAACAGTCTCGGGCCCCTGACACTTATTGTATGGTCTCTTAACGTGCTAGTGACACCCTGCTTTTCATTGGGGGATGGTGCATCGTCTGCCAAGTCTTTTGCTTTCGTAGTGAGTGATTTTCGTGTGCAAGTTCGTACTAGTCCCTCTAGGATTTTCCAGTGTATATAATCATGTATCTCTCCCTCCTGCGTTCCAGGAATACAGGTTTAGGAACCTCAAGCGCTCCCAATAATTGAGGTGTTTTATCTCCGTTATGCGCGCCGTGAAAGTTCTCTGTACATTTTCTAGTCGGCAATTTCACCTGCCTTGAAAGGTGCTGTTAGTGTGCAGCAATATTCCAGCCTAGATAGAACAAGTGACCTGAAGAGTGTCATCATGGCTTGGCCTCCCTAGTTTTGAAGGTTCTCATTATCCATCCTGTCATTTTTCTAGCAGATGCGATTGATACAATGTTATGGTCCTTGAAGGTGAGATCCTCCGACATGATCACTCCCAGGTCTTTGACGTTGGTGTTTCGCTCTATTTTGTGGCCAGAATTTGTTTTGTACTCTGATGAAGATTTAATTTCCTCATGTTTACCATATCTGAGTAATTGAAATTTCTCATCGTTGAACTTCATATTGTTTTCTGCAGCCCACTGAAAGATTTGGTTGATGTCCGCCTGGAGCCTTGCAGTGTCTGCAATGTCTGCCTGGAACTGTGCAGTGTCTGCAATGTCTGCCTGGAGCCTTGCAGTGTCTGCCTGGAGCCTTGCAGTGTCTGCAGTGTCTGCCTGGAGCCTTGCAGTGTCTGCAATGTCTGCCTGGAGCCTTGCAGTGTCTGCAATGTCTGCCTGGAGCCTTGCAGTGTCTGCAATGGAAGACACTGTCATGCAGATTCGGGTGTCACTGCAAAGGAAAAACCGGGTGGGCTGAATCCTTGTCATTCGGATTAGGATGGGGAAAAAAGATGGGAGCTTTACAGTACCCCCCCCAAAAAAGATGGCTCACATACGATTTTTCCGCATCCCGATTTTTTTTAAACCCAAAAATTTTTTTTCCCGGAACCGATTAAAAAACCCATTACCGATTTTCGTCCGAGACGCGTCCAAGTCCCCTCAGAAAGCCCACATGTCCCAGCCGTCCCATTGTTTACCCCAGCCCCGCGGTAAACCAAGCATACACCAATATTTCGTATTATTACTTTTTTCGGGCTGTTTCTGGAAATAATGACCAGGGGCCCCAAAAAAGCCATCCCAAACCCAAACCCTAAAAGGGAAAAGAATTACTATAGAAATGAAGAAGAGAAAATTTGATAATATGAAGTGGAGTGCGTTAGCCCCCTAGTCAAGCTGACAAAAAAACCCCAATCCCCATCGTCTATTGTGGGCACCAGAAAGACAATCAAGGAAGTTTTTCTTCCAAAGGTTAAACGTTTTTTCGAACAAAGATCGCAAGTAGGAAGATGTTGGAGACTCTTTTGGGGTGGATAAAGAAAAACAGAACGGAGATACTCTCTCAAGCGGCATATTAAAAAGGGCTGGAATTTGCATGGGGATTTAATTAAAAAAATCCCTGCAACAGTGATGAGTGATAATTTTAAGGCCAGAAAAGGGTTTGGGTTTGAAGATTTAAGGAAAGGTAGTGGCTCCTAGTGTATAAGGTTTGGGAGGTGCCAGTTTTTGGGCCACAAAGCGGCTGAAAAATAGTGCAGGGGTTCAAGGGTACATAGAAACTGAAGATGAAACCCGAAAAGTGTTAATTGTGATGAAACAGGCCTGTTTGGGGGAAAAATGCCAAGCAGGACCTACATTTTCAGGAGGAAAAGGCACTCCCAGGACATAAACCTATGAAGACGGTTCTTTGTTGATGTGTGCCCAAAGCTACTGGTGATTGCAAAGTGAAGCCTTTTTTTAGTGTATCACTCTGAAAATCCCAGAGCTTGGCAAAAGAAGTCCTAAAGGGATTTTGTTGTGTTGGAGGGCAAACAGTAAGGCAGGGTCCCTAGGAATTTTTCTATAACGGTTCACATGCATTTCCCCCCCAAGTGAAAGATTCCCAACTAAAAAAAATTTAGAACTTAAGTGCCCCCTGGGTTAGACAAGCCCCGGGTACCCTACAGACGTGGCCCCAAGCGACTTTATGGGACATGGCTTCATTAAGGTGAAGTTTTTGCCCCTAATACCCCTCCTCCCCTCCCCCATGGACCACAGGTTTTTTCCCCAACTCAAAAACTGTACACAAAATTTTGTTTGAAAGGTGCTTGTAATGACCTCAGAAACTCAACTGACTTAAGAGATTTTGGAAGTCATTTTTAATATCCTAAATTTGTGTAAACCTTTAGGAAAGGCTTGGGAGGGAGTGATAAGGGGCCTTAAAACTCGTTTGGGAAAAACTGTGGCCAAATTGTAACAAAGGGTTTTTGAAGGGTTTGAGGCAAAAACCCTAGAACTGTGCCATGGGAACCATTGGGCATTGGGAAAGTCCTTGGGGTTGGGGGTTGGGGAAGTGGAAAGTTGGTGGGGAACAATGAAGAACTAACCACTGTGAGCTGCTAATCACTTCAAGAGCAAGGGGCCCAACCTGGGGAAACTGGTTCAGAGGGGGGGACAAGAAATTGAAAATTCCTATACAAAGAAAAGGGAAAAATCTGTGCTAAGTGGCTTGAATGCAAACCTTCATGAAAAATCACCCTCAACACCTGTTGCAAGCCGTGGGGTGATTATTCACTGCAATGTTTGAAAACATTTAGGCAAGTCAAAAAGGAACGAGAGGTACACCCCATATGGACAGATTCTTGTGCGAAAAAAGTCCATGACTCTAAAGCGGGCCCTAGGGGCATTAAAAAAAAAAGGGAAGTAACCCCAGAAAAGGACTTACTACCTCAAGTCCTAATGGAAGGGGATTCCCCTTTAAACATAAGAAGATAATGCTCTCCCCTCCCCCCATCCATCAATCATCCCCAGATCTTCAATAAAAGTAAGTGTCATTTAATTGTGCATCCTTTTTCTTTGTGTGTTTTTAAAATTAACATTTATGTGGTAAAAAAAAATTTTTTTTCATACTTTTGGGGGTTTGCAGGATTAATTTTATTTCCTTTTTTCTTATGGGGAAAATTCATTCGATAACATTATTGCATAACGATGAGCCCTCTTGCACGGATTTTAAAAAACGTTAACCGGGGGGCCACTGTACTGTGCCTTTTGGGGAAAAGAGCTTTTCACCGACTGCCTCACTTTTCTCTGTTGCACACTCCTGTTTCTGTTTGTGAGGAAATTAAGATCCCTCACCGACTTTTCTGTTATTCCTTTAGCGCGCTTTTTGTGCGCTATACCCATGGTAAATTGTCGAAGCTTTTTGCAAAGTCTGTTATATTACATCTGCATTTTACTTCTATGCATCCAGGACCTTTTCTAGTGGGCCCGTAGGGACAGAAAGGGGGACCTGTTCTAAACCCCTGTTGCCGGGTTTTAACTGATGGGTTTCTAGATGCTGGGGATCTTTTCTTTTTTTTGGACCTTTCAAAGTTTTTTTGAATGGGGGTTAATGCTTTTGGTCGTATTTTTTTGCTGTTGCTTCGCCCCTTTTGGGTGGGGCTAGT